TGATAATCGATTATTGCGTGCTTCAGAACTTTGGAAGTTCAAAGCTGCAGGGGCTGATAGTCGATTGTCACTAAGGTGATAATCGATTATCACCCAGCTAAAGTCTAGCCAGCTGAAACCCGTTTTGAAAAACCGAGGTCCAAAAACGAAGTGTTTCCAAAAGTAAAAACCAGGTTTGGAAAATATTGTATATGGTATTTAAATAGTGAAAACAAGACTTGTTTGGTAAAAACCAAGTCTCCAAGGTCGTATAATACGTACGTACGGTTTAGACCGTTTTTCACGTATTAGACCGATTGACCAAGATACAAAAGTGGTTTATATGAAATAATTATTTGGAAACATTTTAAAAATGCTCAGAGGTAAAAACAGGGTTTAAAATATTGAAAACCACGGAGTTGGTTCGGGCGCCAAAAAACCGAACGCCGAAAGCCGAACGCCGACTTAGGTGGTTTTGGTTCTGAGCAAGGACCAGGGATTTTAATAATAAAAGAAGTCATCAAAAAATGTTTGTTTTGATGCACAAAAAATGTTTTATGGTTTGTAAAAAATTGTTTTGACTTTTTGAGAACCGAGACTTGAATAAATTGTCGGTTTTGATCACAAAAGACCGACTCGACTAAGTCTTCAATTCTTGATCTTGTCCTTGAGTCTTTTAGGTCTTGTTCCAAGCCATTCTTCACGCCTTGAGTTATTCAACGAAACTCTTCATATCCACGGCGGTTTGGCAATTATCAAAACTTGTCAGAAATGAACACGACTTTAGTTTATCGTACAAAGTGTGTTCCAACAATTTCCCCCTTTTTGATAATGGCAAACAAGACGGGGATATGCATAGGATTTTGATCTTTTTGAAAAAATTCCCCCTTAATATATGCATAGCCCTTATCTTCCTCCTTTTGACATTAACAAAAAGATTGTTAACAACAAAAATCATAAAGATTTTTATTAATTAATTAAGGGAAATAGCGGAGTACATAACGAAAGCATATGAAAAGATGATAAAATAAGGAAGAGAAGAAAGTAGAGCTAGAGCTCTAGAAATCTGGGGAAAGATCATTGAGAAGTTGTTCTTCGTCAATGTCTTCTTCTTCTTCTTCATCTTCATCACCATCGCCATCATCATCATCATCATCATCATCATCTTCTTCTTCTTCTTCGTCTTCCTTTTCTTCTTCCTCTCCCTCAACGTTTTGAGTCCCACTTTGTTCACCTCCGAAATTCGGTGGAGGAACGTAAGGGACCATTTGAGCGTACGGGTAATTGACAAAGTTAAAATACCCGTGAAGTTCACGGCTCAAGGTATTGACGTTGTGTGCTGTTTTGGAGACGTTGGTGTCAATCCGAGAGAGAGTGGCGGTTAAGGCTGCCATTTGCTCGGCGAGAGAAGGATTGGTTGAAGTGGCGGCGGCTGAGGCAGTGGCTCTCGGTTGTCGGCGTGGACGAGGCTGTCGAAACGGAGTCTCGTCGGTGCCCGAGTGGAAAGAAGATTCATCAATCTCCCAATGCTTTGTCCCCTTTATCTTTGGCCCAACATCGGTTTTGATGTTGTATTCTTCAAGAATTGCCATGACAAGGAGGGCGTAGGGGAGCGGCCGGTTGTCGGAGGTGGCGTTGAACATGTGGATCATCACAAATTTACACCAATTGATATTGGCGTTGTGAATCATCGCATGGATCGTCTTCGTGTCTTCTTGGGAGAGAGTGGTGTGGTTGAACTTCCTGGGCTTGAGGATCCGTGTCAACACATAGAAGATGAAACGATACACGGGACTCATGGAAGAAATCGTAGGGCGCCGCTGTTGGGGAGTGGGTACGAAGTGACGGATGCCCACTTCCTCCAAGAGAGCGGTCTCATTGAACCGCGCCCCCTCTTCTCCGGTGTAGAGCCCGAGATCCTGTCCGTCCCGACGAAGCCCGGTGAGGATTTGAATGTTCTCTTCATTCAAATAAATGTCCACCCCGTTGACGTTTGAAATCAACGATCCGTCCTCATCCTTTTTCAAGTTCGAATAGAAAGCTCGAACAAGAAAAGGTTGATAATTGACCTTCTTGATGTAGAGGAGATCGAGGAAGTTTCCACGTTCAAGGATAACCCGTGCCTCACGTGGAATGGAGTCATGAATGAAGCGGGC